GGAAATGAATTCTACGTGGGTGCTATTTAACAGAACTATTTGGGACCCGTTTCGTTTTCGTTCCACGTCATCACAAACGGTGCCCCTCTGCCGAAAGCCTCTTGGATAAGGAGAAGATGAAAAATATGAAACTGTACCTGGCAAATACCTGGCGTTCGCCCTCTTTCGTGCAACTTCGCTCTCTCTTTCTGGCAATGGAATGCCCTTCAAATCTATGGCTGACTGCTTTTGGTAAATGTTTTACAAGACACTAAACAACCTTCAGTTCCACCCTCCATGCAAACACCACTGAGAACAGGGTACAATGGTAACAAAGCACTTACATGGAGTATTCAGGTAACAACAAATGCAGCAAGGGCAGCAGATTCGAGATTTAATCCCAGTGTGTGTCTCTCCCTGGCCACTGCCACTTTATCTGCCTTGCGGGGGGCAGGGGGGAGGAAAAAAACCCTCCATAGATATATTAGTCAAGACTATTCGCGTGTAATTGTGGGGCATAAATCGCAACAACCTTTCCCCTTATTGTTAACTTCTAATCTGTACTCAAGCCTAGGCGTGTTTAACTGGAAAAAACCCGACAAGGAACAGTTAGGAAAGGAACAGTATTCGATTTCAAAATAAATCTTTGGAACGAAACAGAGACATCTCATTGACAGCTGTGTTTTTTAAAAGAAGAAGAAGACGAGCAGACGATACGTAGCACGTTGAACACAAGGAAAGGAAAAAGAGGAAAAGCAGAGAACCACAAAATTGTCCCATGCAACATGAATGGATATAAACACACATACGGACTTACCTTTCAAGCAGCAAAAGTCTACCTCCCTCCATTCCTGCTTTTCGCCATCTACCAAAAGTTAAAGTTCTACTAGCCCCAAACCAGAGTTTTTGCATTCCATTCAAGTTAACAATTACAGAAGGATGAGAGCAGAAACTGGCACTAACACAGTGAAAGCATTTGAGCGGACAAGGTACTCCCCAGCAGTTACCAAAACGAACAGACCTTTCTAAATCCGGGAATTGCGCAAGACTTGAAAATAAGGCTTAAAGAGAGAGAGAGAGAGAGAGAGAGAGAGAGAGAGAGAATAAAGAGAATAATTCCCTCGTAAATTAATTGCAATTGTCGAGTACACAGAGATTGGCGTTAGAACAGTGAAGAACAGGAATGAAACATGGCAAGCCGAAAAGCAGATAGGAAATCGCAGCAAATGAACATGCAGATCTCAGCTCATTGCCAGAGGCAGGCCAGGGATAGACATGCCCAAATCCCAAACTGGAGCCTATGTTCTCGAGCCAGAGGAAAGCCTGGAAATGCCGCAGGTAGGCGTTCCTGCTCTGTTGACCACGTAAGGTCAGAAGGCCAGGACTGGTCAGTCTGGATTATCCGGGCTTCATGTTGCCTTAGGGCTCTGAGCACACCCACTCTCAGGTAGCTGCTTCTTCTTTGGCGATCAATCCTAGCTGAGTAAGATTGTCTTCCATGAACACGGTTTTAACAGTGAGTCCGTAAGTGACAGTGGAGGCCAATTCTGGAGCCACACGTCCTTCCACAGTGGGGACATAGGTTTCCGGGCAGGAGTTGATCACTGCGAGGGTTTGCCAAGCGTGCCTTCCTCTTAGCACGCTTCTCCCTTTCATCCTGAGTTTGAGCATCTTCAAAGCCCATGACACCTTTGGTAAAGGCTGTTGTCCAATTGGAGCGTTCACAGGCCAGTGTTTCCCAGTTGTCGGTGTTTATGCTACATTTTGTTAGATTTGCCTTGAGAGAGTCTTTAAACCTCTTTTCCTGACCACCAGCATTACACTTTCAATTTTTAAGTTCGGAATGGTGGTACCTCGGGTTAAGTACTTAATTCGTTCCGGAGGTCTGTTCTTAAACTGAAACTGTTCTTAACCTGAAGCACCACTTTAGCTAATGGGGCCACTTGCTGCCGCCGCACTGCCGGACCACAATTTCTGTTCTCATCCTGAAGCAAAGTTCTTAACCCGAGGTACTATTTCTGGGTTAGCGGAGTCTGTAACCTGAAGCGTATTTAACCTGAAGCGTATGTAACCCAAGGTGCCACTGTAGTTGCTTTGGAAGATGATAATCAGGCATCCGAACAGCATGACCAGTCCAACGAAGTGGATGTTGAAGAATCAATGCTCTGACACTGGTGATCTTTGCTTCTTCCAGTACGCTGGCATTAGTTCGCCTGTCTTCCCAAGTGATGTGTAACATTTTTTGGAGACACCATTGATGGGTTCTTTTGAGGAGTTGGAGATGGTGTTTATAAGTGATCCATGTTTCATAAGCATACAGTAAGGTTGGTAGTACAACAGCTTTGTAAACAAGCATTTTGGTTTCCCTGCAACTGTCCCAGTCCTCTGCGGTTTTAACCCTCCCATTCCCAGGTAACTCACTAGGCTAAGTCCAAGCCTCAGACCCTCTCCATTACAGATATACATATAGTTGCTTTTATAGCAAGGAACCTGAAAGCAAGGGAACATTACACATTTACAGTCTTCATGTATGTTTACTATGAGGCACGAAGAGAGCCTGGAGTGCAGCAACTGCCAGTTTGCGAGCTTGAGAAAGTGTGCATGGCTGCCATACGTCTGGAATTTCCCGGACACAGCCAGGATTCATTCGTCAAAAATGACATCCGGGCAGATTTTTTTAAAATCGGTTAAAATATGGGCATACTGCAGCCCATATCAGAAGCATTGAATTTTTTGACCATTTCCCTAAAAAATAAGAAAAGAAAAGCTTTAAAACCTCTTCTTTTTTGGAGATTTTTTGCAAAAGAAAAGAAAAAAGCTTGACAGTTGGTTCGTGCCTTCAGAACACACATGATATATTTTCAAGTTCAAAGTCAAACTCAAGTTGCACCCATTTTCAAGATGGCTGGAAGCAAGGCCTTTCCAACAGCATATATATTATTTAGACAGGCTCCCAGAATTCTTCGATGGAAGCCGTAACCATTTAAAGCAGCATCATGCTGCTTTAAGTTAGGGTTGGCATACATCCAGAATTTCCCAGACATACCTGGAATACTGCAGTCGGAAACAGTGTCCGTGTGAAAATGGGGAAAATGTCTGGAAATTTTTGGATGAATGGCAACCATGTTGGCAGTGCCCTTTTTGCCTTTTTTCCTTTAAAATAGCTTTAAAACTTTTTCTCTTTTTTCTTTGCAATTTTGGCAAAAAAGCTCCACAACTTTTGTGTCCAGATTTCCGCTTTCTGAAAATATGGCAACCCCATTCAAGTGTGTTGTGTGAACGTTGAATGACGGTCAACAAGATATGTCATGGTAAATATGTCTTGAAACTCAATATTGACCATATTTACTTGGAAGCAATGGGACATATGGCGAAGCTTTAGATTGTTACAAGTGTCTCTCCATCTTTTTTTGAGCTTATATCTCCCCATCTCTCCAAAAATATGGTTCCCATATATAAAGAGACAAAACTGTTGTCCAGGCAAAATGACACGCCCTGTGTGTTGCAAAGTTCTCCATTATCATACGGACACAAATAACTAAAAGGTATTTTTGTTATTTGCATGCCAATGGCAGAGAGTACTCTGACCCCCATGACACAGCCTCAGAGACCAACCTCTGTCAATAGTGCATAGATATTTCAAGGGCAGCTTGGCACACCAATGTTTATTCATTGCCGAGAAGAGATGCGGAGTCCCCTTGCAGTGTTTGGGATGTTGTCATGGGCCACGAGTCGGCTTCACCTGCTGAGCAGCAGCCTGAAGGCGCAGAAGGTGAAGGAGCTCCACCTGCTGTGGATCAGCCTTCTTGCTCCTGATGAGAACCAGGCTTTCTTAAGCAGGGTTTCCAGTCTCAGTCAGTTTCTGGAAACAACATTCATCGTTCCTGACCAGACCTTGCTGTTTGTTGCTTCTCGTGACCTTGGACCCTTGGCTTTCTTGACCCCCCCGCCGAACTGAGATACTCCTGACCTTAGGACTGGGCTGAATCTTGCATATGGACTCTGCCTCCAAGCAAGTACCCCCCGAAACTTGGCTGGTGGGCTGGCTTCTCCCTCCACTGAGCTCTGCCATGGCTGGCAGCACAGGGCTACGACTGATATCCTGCAATAATTCAGTATTGAAGCTTGATATAACCTTAGAATAGTGTGTGCACTGGTGTTGTGGTGAAACAGCTGTGAAAATCTGAAAAGTCCCCATGCTTAATGGAAGTGGCTTTTTCAAACAAATGCAGATAAATCAGGAAACAGTGGTGGAATTGAAGCACATCTAGAAAAACGCTGCCAAAATGCTTTTTAAAAAAGTTTTGAAAAATACTTTGGATTTACCATAGCTCACCGTCGCCATCTAGTGTCACATTTGTGTATTGCACTTTGCAACACACTTAAAACGTTTTATTTGCAGCTGTGTGGCTGAGTCAAGTGACTAAGCAAGAAATAAGGTTAAATGTGCACGTTAACATTGTTTTGGTTTCTTTGGGGATCACCTTCAATTGCATGCTTTGAGTTCAGATGTATATTTTCTTCCTCTTGGGTCACATGTGCTTTTCACCTCCTCGAAAAACTTGCTCAGTGTGACTACTTTTTAAATGCAAAGCATTTCGAACGGGACGCATCCAGCATGGAATTCCAGTATCTTGGTCTGGAAGAGGATTTTCATGCCAAACTCATCTAACCAGCCCCCCTGAAAGGAACAGGAATCAACTGTGACGATTCTCCAGTAATCATTATGAAGCGAGGTCAAAAATGAAAATAAAATTACAGCCTAACCATATGCCGTGTCATGTGCCTTTGCTATACTCTGGTCTCCGTCCCTGCCAAACACCCCACTAGGTCCCAGGATCAGGACCTCTTTGGGCTTGAGTCCTGACAGATCCTCTTTTTGCTGTTGCAACAATCTTCCCGTTTTTGACTGGCTGCCGATCCTATAAACAGCTCCTGGGTCGGCTCAGGTCAACACTACCCCTGGACTTTGTGTCTCCTCCACCCTGACGTGAGTTGTTGTTTTTCTGCTGAAGCCTTCAGAGCTCTCCAAGCTGTCCGCTCTCGTGTTCCCCTGCATGGTTTTTGTCTCAATGGCCTTCACAATTGCAGATAAAAGGGCAGCTCTTGCCTATAAGATTACAGAAGTTGTGTCTGAGTTTTAGGGCTGAGACAGGCTCTGCCCGGTTGCTGGCGATTGGTTCCTTCTGCCCCGTCAACCAAATCCTTGACAGGAAAACCTCTAGCCAATGATCAGTAATAGCCAGTTTTTTCTTGGATGAGGTTTGAATAAGATACAGCCGATTTTCCCCGGCTCCCCAAAAAAGAAGTTACAGGTAAGACGTACCTTGAAATCTGGCTGTGGAGGCAAGGGGATTGCAAACATATTTGGGGCATTTGGGTCTGGGCTCCCAGTAGTGAAATGTGAAAACAAAAGTCGGGTAGCTTAAAGCAGTAAAAGTAAGAAAAGGTGTAGATGACTCTTCTCAAGTTCCATGAGCATTATGACAACTGAGTACGATGCTTTTGGCAGCAACTCTCTCTCCCACTTTGGTTTAAATTTCCTCCACCTTTTACAGATCCTGCCCAGCACAGTGAAAACCAAAAGCAGGGAATTAAATCCAAACCTGGATAGCAAAGTAAAACGTTAGCCTTCTCTAAGGTAAAGGTAAAGGGACCCCTGACCATTAGATCCAGTCGTGGCCGACTCTGGGGTTGCAGCGCTCATCTCGTTTTATTGGCCGAGGGAGCCAGCGTACAGCTTCTGGCTCATGTGGCCAGCATGACTAAGCCACCTCTGGCAAACCAGAGCAGCACACGGAAACGCCGTTTACCTTCCCGTCGGAGTGGTACCTATTTATCTACTTGCACTTTGACAGGGACCGAGCAACAGGAGCTCACCGTGTCGTGGGGATTTGAACCGCTGACCTTCTGATCGGCAAGTCCTAGGCTCTGTGGTTTAACCCACAGTGCCACCCACGTCCCTTTAGCCGTCTCTCTTAAGGGAATATTCCTAGCGCAGTTGGTAGAGCATGAGCCTCTGAATCTCAGGGTTGTGGGTTCGAGTCCCACATTGGGCAAAAATATTCCTGCATTGCAGGGGGTTGGACTAGATGACCCTTGTGGTCCCTTCTGACTCTGCCATTCGATGAGTCAAGCTCCTGCGACGGCGAAATATTTAAAATGTGAAGTATCTGTTTGCATTCACTCCTCTAGCATATTTTAATGTTCGCGCTCAAAGTATCAGAATCTAATTCAGAAATCTAGGTTCTCTCTCGACAGTAGCTGTCCTGCAGTTTAATCTTCACATATCTGGCGGCTGCAGAAAAGTTCATTTCACAATATCTCCTTCCTTGAAGCTGTCCAACCGGTTCCGACATGTGCTGCAGTGTTGCACCATATTGCCATGGGGGGGGCACATTTAGAGCAGCGGTTCCTTATTGGAAGATCGCAACCTGGAAGTAAAGGAACTTGGGGGTGGGTGAGGGGAGAACACCTTTCAGTTTTCAGGAGAGTTTATAGCTTGCCAAGCCCAGCTTGCCTGGGAGGCACGAAGGGCACAGTAACAGTGTTGTTTCTAGCTTGGGCAGTATTATGGCAACAAACTCCACTTACTCCTTTCCCCAAGGTGAACACTTTTAAGATTGTCTATTTAAACTGATACAATGGGCTTGCTGTATTTTTTGTGGTGCACACAGGCTTTTAAAAACGGGAGGAGGGGGGTAACACATGCACAAGTAAATTTTTGTGTGGTTGAATATATAAACGATGCTTAGGTAAAAAGGTAAAGGACCCCCTGGACGGTTAAGTCCAATCAAAGGTGATTATAGGGTTGTGGCGCTCATCTTGCTTTCAGGCAGAGGGACAGCTTTCACAGACAGCTTTCCAGGTCATGTGGCCAGCATGACTAAACCACTTCTGGTAAAAAAGGACCCCTGGGTGGTTAAGTCCATGGGGTACTGCACTCATCTCACTTTTCAGTTTGAGGGAGCCGGCCTTTGTCCGCAGACAGCTTTCCAGGTCATGTGGCCAGCATGACTAAACTGCTTCTGGCGCAACGGGACATCGTGACAGAAACCAGAGCGCACAGAAATGCTGTTTACCTACCCGCCACAGCGGTACCTATTTATCTACTTGCACTGGTATGCTTTCGAACTGCTAGGTTGGCAGGAGCTGGAACAGAGCAACAGGAGCTCACTCTGTCATGGGGATTCGAACCACCGACCTTCTGATCAGCAAGCCCAAGAGGCTCAGTGGATTAGACCACAGCGCCACCCGCATCCCCAAATGATGCTTAGATTACACATTGATCAGTATGGAGCTGATGCAGCATACTTGTTAAGAGACTTGGACGTTTGAATTCATTGAGTGGCCCTCACTCAAGACACTCTCTCGGGCACCCCCCTGTGCTATGTGGAGGAAATGCTAAAGTTTTTGAGCATGCATAAACGTTGCATTTCTAGCGAAATGCTCAAGTGGGAGGTGCCACAGGAAGTGTCTTACATTGCTGAAGAATGAACGGTGGGTCTTTGGGTTCTTGTATACAGAGGCATGTTGCAGTCCACCTAACAGCTTCTGTTAGCAATGATCAGGTTTTACCCCCGTGCAAATGCTTTGCATTTTTTCTGTCGGGCTCATGGCACGCTGTGGCCTAAACCACGGAGTCTCTTGGGCTTGCTGATCAGAAGGTCAGCCGTTCGAATCCCCGCAACGGAGTGAGCTCCCATTACTCTGTCCCAGCTCCTGCCAACCTAGCAGTTCGAAAGCACGCCAGTGAAAGTAGATAAATAGGTACCACTGTGGCAGGAAGGTAAACGGCGTTTCTGTGTGCTCTGGTTTCTGTCACAGTGTCCCTTTGCACCAGAAGCGGTTTAGTCATGCTGGCCACATGACCTGGAAAGCTGTCTGTGAAAGCTGTCCCTCTGCCTGCAAGCAAGATGAGCACCACAACCCCATAGTCGCCTTTGATTGGACTTAACCGTCCAGGGGTCCTTTACCTTTTTACCTTTAAAATATATTGGAGAAAGCCAGAGGTGCACTTGGGAATACTGCTGCAGCACAGACAAAAGCTTACTAAGTTTTTATTTATAGTGAGTGCTCCAGATCATGCCCCAGAATCTTCTGCCACACATTTTGGGTGCTTCCAGGAGACATGTTTATTGAGCATTCCTCCTGACTTGTTTGCAAGAAGGCTAGACACCATTGTCTGAAAGCAAGTGCTATCTATCTACAATTCCCAGTGTATTCCCCAATTTCTCTCCTTATCACAAAAAAAGTTCGATCTTCTGGGCGAAACGAGTTTGTTGCGCAAGAGCTTGTTGTCCCAACCAACTGTAATTGCACAATCTGAATTTCCTGGTATAGGTATGTGATTGATTGAATCCCACCCCAAAATAGTGTCAGTCTGGAAGCCATGCTTGGGTGTCAGTGACAAGCTTTCAGGGATTCCTAAATAGATTAGGAAAGGGTATTTGGATAGGCTCGGCTTTAAGAACAATCAGAATGGAACATGCATGAATTGCCAAGAGGATTTTCGCTGGAAGCAGAAAGGAAGAATTGGGAATTTAAAAATGGATTTTCTAAAATTTGCTGAATCCAGATGATATAGGTTGCTCAGACAGAATGAAGAAAATTGCTTCTCCCACAATTATAATATTCATCCCAATAATTTTATCTACAACCTTGCCTTTTGTGAATACATGGTTATTTCCACACTCTCTTTTTATTAACTTGGAACTGAATGATGCCTAATGTGTGCATTGCTTGTTAATGCTCCAGCGTAGCTATTAAAATTTGCCGTAGGTTATGAAAAAGTGCACCCCCTTTTATAACTAAGGCTCCTGGCTGTCCTGTAAAAGTTTCAAAGTGGGCAAAATTAGAGTCATTACAAGAATGCAATTAACAGCCAATGAAAAAGGAATAGAAAGAGTTTTAATAGATTTGGAGGTAGTTTTGCAAAGTTGTGGCTGTCTATCGTTCAATTTTATAGAGCGCTCTTGTGTATGGAGCTCATAGCTACCCTGTTTGCTAGAGTTTGAAAAGATATACATAGTGTATTAGGATGAATTGTCAGTCTAGCATTCTTGGCAAAATCACTTTAACAACTTCAAAAGCACTACACAAAAGAAAACTTGAAAATCCTTCACAGAGATATTAAACCACCTAAAGTTCCTCTGGACAGAAACAGAAATATTAAACTATGATTTCAGAATTGTTGACTTGCTTGTAGTTTCCATTGCCAAGACCAGAGATACCACTATATGGCAGAAGGGAGGATAGATTGCAAGACATTTAGACAACAATGGGGATCTGAGCTTAGGGAATATGTTGTAGGAGCTGGCCACAGGATGGCTCTCCCATCCCACATGTATTTTGTGGTTTTATATCTTGATTTTATTCGGTGAACTGCCCTGAGACCCCCCCAGGTATAGGGTGGTATATAAATTCTAATAATAATAATAATAATAATAATAATAATTGATGCTCTACGGCTATGTCAAATTTCTAATGCAAGTGCTGGGAGCAACCAAGACGAGCAGACATGGTTGAGATTGTGTCACCAGTCTGAATACAACCTCATTTAATTTTGATACCCCGATGAGCAGAAAGTGCGACTAGACCCAACCGATTTAGAAAGTGTAACCTGGAAAGAGCAAATTCCTTAGACGCCTAAAGGTTACATGCTAACTGCTCTTTGTCGAACATTTGTAATTCTCTCGTACCACAATGTTGCCTGCCTCAGCAAGTTGTCATAACTTAACCACAGGAGAAAAGAAATATTTCTGTTTTGAAGATTAACACTTTAGGGGGTAGAGCATTTGCGCCTGTGTGTTTTGCAAGGATGCGTGAAAGCTTCAGCTGAACCAGACTTGTCTCCAGAGGAAAGGGATGCAGAGGTTGTTCCCAGCTCTGCCTGCTAGGTGAAAATTCTTTTAAAAGTCTTGGTCTGCTGGGGATTAGCAAGGCCAAGGATTGCAGAGGTCTGGTGCATCTCTCTCCTTCTAAATGGGCCTCTTCTACCCATTATGTTAAAAGCGTGGTCACATTGAATCTGTCTTAAACATATATGTGTGCAAATAGCAGCTGCTGGGGGGCACGACTGGGATGGGTGTGGCAGAATCAGAAGAATCTTTATTTGCACCAGTCCCTAGCCCTAGCAATAAAATAAAATACAATGTGCTGAAGATAGAGGTAAAAACTTAATTATGCAAAATGCATTCCGGAGGTTTAATCAATAATCAAATAATAGATCTTGTTCTGATTGCCCCTACTAAAATTTTTGCAGTTTTTGCTGTTGCCTGGTTATCTTGATCTGCCAGAAGAAAGGACACTGTAGCAATGGCTGAGCAACCCGGCATGGACAGGAGTAAAGGCAAAGGGTAAATGGACCCCTGACCATTAGGTCCAGTCGCGGATGACTCTGGGGTTGCGGCGCTCATCTCGCTTTATTGCCCAAGGGAGCCGGCGTACAGCTTCTGGGTCATGTGGCCAGCATGACTAAGCCGCTTCTGGCGAACCAGAGCAGCGCACAGAAATGCCGTTTACCTTCCTGCAGGAGTGGTATCTATTTATCTACTTGCACTTTGACGTGCTTTCGAACTGCTAGGTTGACAGGAGCTGGGACCGAGCAACGGGAGCTCACCCCATCACGGGGATTCGAACTACCGACCTTCTGATTGGCAAGTCCTAGGCTCAGTGGTTTAACCCACAGCGCCACCCGCGTCCCTATGGACAGTAGTAGATAAGTAATAATACAGTGGTACCTCGGGTTACATACGCTTTAGGTTACATACACTTCAGGTTACAGACTCTGCTAACCCAGAAATCTTACCTCGGGTTAAGAACTTTGCTTCAGGATGAGAACAGAAATTGTGCTCCGGCGGCATGGCAGCAGTGGGAGGCCCCATTAGCTAAAGTGGTGCTTCAGGTTAAGAACAGTTTAAGGTTAAGAACGGACCTCTGGAACGAATTAAGTACTTAACCCGAGGTACCACTGTAACCTCACTCCTCAAATCTTAAAAAGAGTGCAAGCTAGAAGCAAATGGGCTACCGATTCAATGCTGCCATCTCGACATGGACATAAGCGTTTTCCCAGCAAGATTTTTGGAAATCGACCCTCAAGTGCAGCCGAAGGCAGCATATTCAATCTCGCGTAACTGAAAGCGCGTCAGTATTTGGGAATGGTTACATTTTGCAAATAGGGTGCTGATGTATCAAAATGACTGGGTGGAATTGGTGTGGCATATGCTAGAGTTGCCACGGTGGAACTGAGACGGCCAAGACAGACTTGCAGAAGAGACCAAAACATTGTTTGCTTCTTTGCTGAATAAAAGGGAGCCTTCCCCCTCCCCGCCCAGGAGAACAATGTGGACTCTTTTTGCTGTTTATTAAGAGAGGCTCTGCCCAGAGCAGCCTTATTAAAAACTTTCCATGCAAAAGGGAAAGCTGAAGACCAATAAAAGCACCCGGTAAGAGGGTGTATCACATGTGCCTATCAAATATGCCACAAAACCGGTTCTTAATTCTATAGCAAGAAACCCAAGGTATCAGTTACACTTATGAGTCGTGGCTTAGAGTCATTTAATTTGATGATCTTTTTAAAAAAATATGAAATGAAATAAAATGAATAGAGCCTAGGGTTGACAACTTCGGGTTTCAAAACCTTTGACACCTGAGGTGAAGTGCCTCTGAGAATGGGCAGAAGCTGCCTTAATACAGAGACAGACTTTTCTGGACCACCAACTCTGTATTTTCTACACTAATTGACAGCGGTTCTTCTTTAGGGGGCTGAAGCTGGGTCCTGAACTATCTACTGAGCTTTCTACCCTCTGGCAACTCCAAGTACTGAGTTCCCACGCTGTTCTTGTTGTTATTTATTTATATACCACATAGCGCATAGGATGTAAATCGGATCGACAAAGGCCTGGTTAAAACAGAGCGTTTTTGCCTGGCACCTAAAGGTGTATAATGAAGGCACCAGGCAAACTTCCCTGGGAAGAGCATTCCACAGACGGGGAGCCACTGCAGAGAAGTCCCTGTTCTCGTGTTGCCACCCTGTGGACCTCTTGAGGAGGAGGCATACGAAGAAGGGCCTCAGAAGATGTTCTTAGGGTCCGGGTAGGTTCATATGGAAAGAGGCGGTCCTTGAAGTATTGCAGTCCTGAGCCGTTTAAGGCTTTATAGGTCAAAACCAGCACTTTGAATTGGGCCTGGAAACTAATTGGTAGCCAATGCAGTCGGACCAGGATGGGTGTAATATGCTCAAACCGTCTTGCTCCGGTGAGCAACCTGGCCGCTGAATTCTGCACTAGCTGAAGTTTCCAATCCGTCTTCAGAGGCAGCCCTATGTATAATGCATTACTCAGAGTGATTGTGATTGACAGCTAAGAGTAGTCAGGTTGGCAGTAAAGGATGTGATTGTCGGTGGTCGGTGTGGTTGATAGATTTTATGTCTTGTGAATTCCACTATGAAGTAACTTGACTGGAATAGAAGCCCCAGTTCATGCATCCACAAGTCTCTCCAGTCGGAAAATGTGAGATGTGCCTTTGCCAGTTCTCACCTTGTCAAGGTAAGCAGCTCTGAGCTGTCAATCATAATCACTCCGAGTAAACAGTGCCGGAGCTTAGTACTTGGAGTTCATTTAAACACATGTTCTAAATCACATCACTCCTGCAATCTAAAACTTCCCAATTATCACAGATAATCGCAATGCAAAAACAACGACACACCCTTTTCTATACCCAAGGTGTTTTAGAAGCCTGTCTGTTATCCGGAGTTGAGCCACAAACCCTTCTAACAACTAGCTTTTCCACTTTTCCACAAAGAAAAGGGATCAATATTGGATGCAGGGACACACACTGAGAAACCCTCATATCCAAATCTACTGTCTGGAAGTAGCTAGGAATGAAATTCCTCTCTGCTGATGGATTAGAGTTTTGTTAGGCCATGGAAACCCTCTGGCTCCCATAGAAGCCCTGCTATACTTCAGAAAAAAGGTAAAGAACCCCTGGATGGTTAAGTCCAGTCAAAGGCAACTATGGGGTTGCGGCGCTCATCTAGCTTTTCAGGCCGAGAGAGCCAACGTTTGTCCACAGACAGCTTTCTGGGTCATGTGGCCAGCATGACTAAACAGCTTCTGGCGCAACAGAACACTGTGACAGAAACCAGAGCGCACAGAAACGCCGTTTATCTCCCCGCCACCTATTTATCTACTCCCCGCCCCGGTACCTATTTATCTACTTGCATTGGTGTGCTTTTGAACTGCTAGGTTGGCAGGAGCTGGGACAGAGCAATGGGAGCTCAACACCGTCACAGGGATTTGAACCGCCGACCTTCTGATCGGCAAGCCCAAGAGGCTCAGTGGTTTAGACCACAGCGCCACCTGCATTCCATTGGGCCTGAAAGGAAGGTGAGTGCTGCAAACCTAACCACCCAGGGGTCCTCTACCTTTCACCTATACTTTAGAAACCTGAAGCAGCAAGTGTTTGGTCCTGAACTAGGGTGTTCTGAGGGCAAGCCAGGCGTGAACTAAGATGGCCTCTGATCGACTGGATCCAATTTCCCTTTGTTCCCAGAGGGGTGTTGCAAATGGTGGATTGTCCACCACTTTAAGACCATAAGAAAAGCCCTTCTGGAGTGGACCAATGGCCTGTATAGGCTGGCATCCTGTTCTCAATAGGGGTCTACCAGAAGCCTATGGGAAGCCCCTATAGGTGACCCCCCTATTCTCCCCACTGGTGACTCCACTCAACTGATAAACAGAGGCATACTGCCACTGACAAGGGGAGGCAGGACATGTGGGAAATTGCTCCTAGTTAGTGTGTGAAAGAGTTAAGACCATAAAGTTCTGTTCCTAAACTCAGCAAGGCCACGCCCCTTTGCTTCCATGAGAGAGGAAGTGAAGCTGCTTCTTTTCCTTTCTCTCTCTTTGCACCAGGACGGACATGTCTGAACTTGCTTAAAATTCAGACCACTTATTTTATTTATTTATTTATTGAATTTGTATACCACCCTATACCCAGGGGTCTCAGGGCTGTTCACAGAATAAAATCAAGATATAAAACCAGAAAACCATATATTTGAAACAATATGATGTATTCTGCACCCGGGAACAATTGACCTGTGCTCTCCTTGCTGCTGCATAGAATAACACATGAATCAGACCTTTGGATTTAGTAAGTAAAGCATCTTAAACTTAGAGGGTGGGGGGCAAGTGTTTTGAGACAGACTAAATGGGATATGCAAAATGGAACTTATATTCCATGCTTTGTTGCTGGTTAACTCACAGGGTGTTTTTAACTCTCCTGGGGGCGCTCTTCTGCTGGAAGGTGTACAAAGCCCTGCATTTTGAATCCAGGTATCCAGCCAATTCACGCACACAAGTCAGATCGATTTCCCCTGCACAGGACATAGGCATATTGGCTAGTAGTCACCTCAATACCCCCCTTCACCATTTAGGAATGTATTCACCATCACCATTGTAGACTGTTTTTGTAACTGCAAAGCAATTCTTACTTTACTAACGCATAGGTAGACTTGTTTTTGTTATGTTATATGTGGAGATTGAGTTGACAATCAATCTATCTTCAGGGTTTTCTTTTTGATCTCCAGTTAATTTTGGTATCCATTCCAGTGCCACATCCTTGCTGTCACAATTTGTTTCATCTTCCTAGCGATGAGTGTTAAATTGGATTTGCAGTACTCCCTAATTAAATGGATTATCTCCCAGGAACGTTCCTCTCATTGTTATACCCATGCTTCAGGCAATGGCAAATTTTGACGCCCGACCTTAGTTCAAACGTGAGTTGTCAGACATAGGAAAACAAAGTCAGAAGAAAGCAAACCAGCTTTTTGGAAGAGACCTGGAGAGTTGTACTGAGAACATGCGAGTTGTCAATGCTGTGTTTCATAAAGTGGCTTTTTGTGAGTGTAAGCAGAACTACTGGGCTTTGAAAGGACCGCCACAACTTTTTAAGAGAAAAAAAGTGCATGGCGTAGTATTGGGTTCAACATTCAGCTCCTTGGAGATAGTTCACATTTGAACAACCACATTTGAGGGGTTTAATAGATTGCAAGCTTTCCAGATCTCTAGAACTCTTAATCAGGCTAGATGGCAAACAAAGTAACGGAAGGGAGGAGCAAAACAGTTGCATGATTGGGAAGACGAGATAAGTCTGCATCTTGTAAGGGTCTGAAGATGGGATTTTGAGAGAGGTAGCCAGGTTTGTTTGTTCCTGGCGGAGACTAACAAAATAGTCTTGAGGTACCTTCAAGGCTAGAAAACCCATTATGGTATAAATAAGGGGCTACATTCCGGCTTCATCAGATGCATGAAGTGTTATTCTGAGTGGCATAGATGATAGATAG